TTTACACAACTGGGGGCTGGGGTTGTGGCTCAGTGGTAGAGTGCTTGCCTAGCATGTGTGAGGCACTGGGTTCGATTCTCAGCACCACATATAAACACATAAATTCATAAAGTTCCATCAATAACTAATTAAAAAAAAAAAAGTTTACACTACTGGTTGGGACAGGAGTGGAACTGTGGATGATTGTTGGCCCTGAAAAGAGACTAGTAGGTGATGAAAGCAAATGAAAGAGGATTCAAAAAGAAAAAGAAAATGGAGGCCGAGCTCAGAGGACCAGCGATGCTTTATTCAGCACTGGAGGGGCACATCTTTGGCGAGGTGGGGGGAAGGCTGGGGGGAAGGCGCCAGGAGAGCCCGGTCATGGGAGGAGTTTTGGCTAATTTAAGGCCAGACAGGAGGGCAGGTAGGGGAACAGYAAGGGAAGTTCCCTCCCTGGGGCCTACTGTCCATATCATTCAGGTGATATAGTTTAATGGGAGCTGGGTTTAAAGGGCTTCTTCCACCAGAAGCTGTCTGAAGGGAAGGCAGAGACAGATGCATCAACTAAGGAGGGGAAGAGGTGACCAGACTGACCTCTGAGATTTGGTCCAGACCCGAAAGGGACAGCAGAATTCCCCAGCAGCAGACTGCTGTACCTGAAGCTAACCAATACCTTAACCATGTGTGAAATCTCTAATATCACAACTGGACAGGCAATATTCAAAGATTAGTGAATTCACTCGAGGTGCAGGTCTGATATCCCCACTGGACTGTGAGGTCTTTGGGGGTAGTGACCATATTCACAGATTTATCCCCAGCTTCTAACAGAACCTGGAATAAATACAGTGAAGACTCAAATAATTTTATTCAAGGCATACATTAAATAACGAATATGTTCAAATGGGAAACCAAGTCTGCGAGAAGACATACAGGAGAAGCGTAAGATCACCCAGCGACTCTGGGGTAGAAGCAGATTTTCCGGGACACACCAGGACTAAGACCTTACACCAAAGCAGGTTGACGGTAACCATTTCTTTGGGTTAGCGCGCAAATACGACCCGGCCACGAAGGGGCGGGGATAAATGGGTTCCTGCTGGCCGGGTCACGAYGGAAAGCTGATTGGGTGGAACGCAAGGCGGTGCCAAGAGGTAGGAGCCGCAAATTTCCTTCTCCACCTTGTACCGGCTATTATACAAACGTCACTTCCGGTGTGGTGGGCGGGAGCGGGAAACAAAAGGACACGAAGGACGCATGCGTTTGGTGGGTCCCCGGATTTTGGTGGGTTCTTCCGCTCAGGYTAGGTGAAGCGCTTCCGGGTCGCCGCCGGCTGCCGCCTCCGGCGGGGTAAGTACAGAAGCGAGGCTGCGGCCGTCTTCTTGCTGCTTCTTTCCTCTTTCCCCCAGGGGAACCCAGCCCTTTGACTTGCCTCCCCAGGAGCTCCATGTTCAGATTCCTTTAACCGTAAATAGCTTCTGCTCATTGGCCGCTTCCTCAAGACTAAGCCCCACCCCTTCACACAAGACCCGTCATTCATTGGTGTCACTTCCTGTCACCCAGCATTTCTTTCAGTTAATTGGCTCTACCCAGACCCCGCTCCTTTCACGATTAGCGACCCTATAAGGGAAAACTCCTGTCCGAGTCCCGCCTCTACCTTCTTCCTGTTGGTCAACCGCACGGTCATTATCGTAATGAGCAAAGACTGGGCGGTGGCCTKTTAGGTTTTCGGAGGCAAGATCTCTGTCCTTGAGTTAGTTCTAGGGTGTCAAGAGTGGACGCGTTTGGCGTTGGTCGAGAGAACGCCAGCAGCTGGTCTTGGGTCGGTCAATAAGTTAGGGCAAAAGCTAGAAAACGAGACAGATCTTTTTTTTTCATCTCACCTCTTTCAGTGCCTGGCCTGGATCCCTTCCCTGCACTAGTTTTAAGTCCCAACTCACCTTGTGACCTGAAGCCAGTATCTTCCTGTCGCTGGGTCTCAGTTTTCCTGTCTGTGAGCTAAGAAGTTTTAAATCGGAACCTTTGGGATTTATCTGGTCAGCTGAGTTCACAAAGTTGGATTTGTTCTCTTAAATATTAGTTCATCCATTCAGTCTTCCATCTGCTTACTCATTTATTCATGCCTTTTAGAATGCTTACTGGACCCTGATAGCACGTGGTGCAAGCCCCCAGTTTGACGGGTCCATCAAAGAAGTGGTTAGTGTCCCAAATGTTTTGAACTGGTTGGGTGTGGTATGGACCATCATAAAGGGGCAAAAAGTAAATTTTAGGGCTTGGATGGGGTAGACATAAATATCATTAGAGCCCTGCTTTCCCTAATTTTGTAATACCAGTTTAAACTGGATTCTATCTCTACACCTGGCTCCCATTCTCTTACCTCCTTGAACAACCAGCCTACGATTTGATTTATCCATTATTTTATTTACCAGAATAACTGTGAGGGTGATATAATTGTTATTATCCCCATTTTGCAGATGAGGAAACAGGCCCAGAGAGGTTAAGTGACTTGRCAAAAGTCAAACACCTAGTGAGTGGTGGAGCCAGGACTCAAACCCAGGTCTGTCTCATTCCTAGAAGGAAGGCCTGTTTCCCTGCTACCTTCCACTCCACCCAGTCCCTAAATCAAATTACAACCAAATAAAAACCAAACTAAAACAAAACACATTCACCTAACACTTTCCCTCAGTCTAGGAGCCATGTCCACCTTGTTCCCTTCACTCTTCCCCCGGGTGACTGAGACACTGTGGTTTAATCTGGATCGGCCCTGTGTGGAGGAGACAGAGCTGCAGCAGCAGGAACAGCAGCATCAGGCCTGGGTGAGTGAGGATCTAGCAAAGCATAGCACAGTCAGAAACATATCCCCTATCCCTCCCTCTGGCCAGGACCCAGCCTTACTGTAGGACCTGCCCTGGAGAGTTTTTTTGTCCTTAGCTGGGAATAATCAGGCTGGGAATCAGGGGACCAAAATTCTCATCTTTATGGTACCCTGATTTGCTGGGGACCCTGGAAATTCTGGGACAGATTAGAAYTTAGGCTTCTGACACTCAGCCCAAGCTCTATTCCTCAAATCACAGGAATTAGCAATTTTAATCATTTATCAGAACCTAGCAGATGGCATGTTTTAGGTTAATTATCTCACTTCACCTTCACCATAATTATATGAAGAAACCAAGGCCCAGGAGATTAAGTAGTTGAGTCAGATTTATACATGGCAGATAATGGGAGAAAAGGGATTGAATTTTCCTGAGAATTTCCTGAGAACCGGGAAGAAGCTTTTCCCCAACACTTGATGGTTTTCTTGAGGGCAGAGTGGGCCAGTCCCATGTCCCTGACCTGCCCTGCTTGGGCCCTAGCCTTGCTTTCCCCTCCCTGTTTTGCCTGCAGCTTCAAAGCATCGCAGAGAAAGACAACAACCTGGTACCTATTGGCAAGCCAGCCTCAGAGGTGAGTGGCTCCTGCAAGTGGGGCCTATGTGAGACCCAGGGTGGATCACAACTGTACTAATTCTGAATGTTCTGCTGCTGACTTGGTGCAATTGTGGTTCTCAGAGTGGGCCAAGGCTAAAAAGGGGAGCTTAATGGGGTGGGCATTGGGCCTAACACCAAGGTCCTGTAGAACATCTATCAGCCTGCTAAACTCAAGGTGGGGGCAAGGTCAGGGAGAGGGAGGTTTCCAAGTTGGCCAGCTGTTATACTGGTCCCGGAAGCCCTGTAGGGCCTACAGGCTTTCCCCTACCCCACCAGCACTATGATGATGAGGAAGAGGAGGATGATGAAGACGATGAGGACAGTGAAGAGGACTCAGAGGATGATGAGGACATGCAGGACATGGACGAGATGAATGACTATAACGAGTCACCTGATGATGGAGAGGTCAATGAGGTAGGTGGGAGTGTAGGGGAGGGCCTCTGTTCCTGGGCCCCTGCCCCTGACCTAATTGATGGCCAACGGGTACAGAAACCCTGGATTCATCCAAGGGCCAGATCTGGGGCTGAGGCTGGCTGAGGCCCCTCCCCACCCACACCCAGCCTCCTCTCCAGGTGGACATGGAAGGCAACGAACAGGATCAGGACCAGTGGATGATCTAGGTAGACAAGGCAGGGTGGCCTCAGGGCGATTCCAGGCCAGCCTAACCTACCCTACATCCCTGCCCTAGTCCCTCAGCCTGCAGAACCAGCTGATGGCCCCAATGCCTAAAAGCTCACCCTTGGGCACTTCCTCAGCTGCTGCAAGAACCTGGTCTCCTTGACCCCTCCTAGGCCATCAGTTGGCCCTTGAATTCCCAGAGCCTGAGCCTACCCCACCTACCTGGTCAGTACCTCACCCCTTGGTTGCCAGGTCTGGTTTCTTTCTAACTCTCTTTAATAAAGACACAGGAATGACTTTTCCCCCATGTCTATTCCCTATTTGTTGGTGGGGCCCAGAGGAGTGCATATCTTTTCCTAGGCTTTGGGGAGGRGACATTCAAGGGATATAAAGCAAACCTAATTGGCCAAGTGGGCCAGGTTTGGGAAGCCTGCGCCTAAGCTCCTGTGTCATTTCTCCTGGCCCAACTTGGCACCAAGCCGTTCCTTCAGGCCTCTCATTATCTGCTTTTTCCTCTGATTCCACGCAGAATGGTATGGGCTAGGAAGGAGAGGCTTTCTGAAGCCCAGATCTGAGAAGCCCTGAGGCTCTCCTAGCCAGCAACTTTAATGTTAAGAGAGTGGATTAAATCTCTGAGCAGGGCAAGACTCCCCTGGAGTCACCCAGAAAACCAGTGACAGAGCTGGGTTGGGGGTTCAGGCCCATGGTCTGTTGTCTATCCATGGATCTCTCCAGAAGGAGGGGGACCAGTAAAACCAAGCAGCCTGATAGAATATGACACTTTGGGTCAGTGTGGAGGCTGGAAGGGTAAAGTTAGGGAGAAACGCCCCCCAGCTCTGAGCCCAGCACATGTCAGGCTCCGAACAGGGAGGAAATAAATGTTCTGAGGTCCTTGCTTGGGCAGGGGTAGGGAGTGTTGGTAAATATCCCTGGTCCTGGACCTCAGCCAGGTCCAGCATAGGTAAGCTGGGCTATGCCATCCTTGATAGCTGGGAAGTCTGGGAGGCCAGTGTGGTGGAGCCGACAKCGGTAGTGGCCACAGCTCTTGGCATACTGTAGGAAGCGAGGCGCACCAGGGAAGAGCACATGGTCAGCCAAGACAGTTGCAGCAGCTGGCAGCAGAGCATGGGCCTCTAGCAGCTGTAGGTCCCGCAAGTAATACCGGGGCCGATGTGCCAGGAGTACAAGGTCTGCCTGACTCAGCTGGTGCTGGGCTCGTAGGCGTGGGATCACCTCCTCTGAGCTGCCAACAATGAGCTCCACCTGTTGGGTAGGAGGTACTGGAGGTAAGGATTGGCCAGATTGCTTTCCCACTCTGGACCCAACCAGGATCTGGCTTACTTCATGTTAGGCATTTCTAGGTGCTTAGAACCCAAGAAATCAGGATTAGTATTGTCATTTCCATTCTGCCCATAAAGAAACTAAGATTCGGAGGATATGTTCTTTGCCCAAGGACTCAAAGCTAACTAGAGGAAGGCTAAGATTTGGATTCATATTTGCTGGGCTCTGGAGACCTTTTCTTAGCTGCTACTTTTGTCATGCAGAAGAAAATATTTGCAAGTGACCTGGGACAAGATGATAGGAGCTCACACACCCTCCAGGATCCYAGCTGCCTAAGTGAAGCTGCTTTCTTCTTCCTAAATGGGAATTCCTCAAAAGGGAGGCCTGGCTAGGGCAAGGCCTGGGGTAGCAGAGAAAAGATCAGGGGCAGGGGCATGGGGAGGCTGACCGTGTGCTCATCGAAGCCAGCCAAGCGAATGAGTTTTTCAGCTACTGCTGCTGTTCGTGGGTCCCGCTCCACCGTGACAAGGCGACCCCCAGGGGGCAGGGCACAGGCAATAAGCAAGGTGGAGTATCCACAGTAGGTGCCTAGCTCCAGCACACAAGCAGGGGCCTTCTCCTCCACCAGCCGCACCAGGATCTGACCTACAGGGTGAGAGGGCTGTTGTAGAAGACATGGGAGATGGATGCAGGGCTCCTTATGAAAAGATATCTTCAATGCCCACCTGCCTCATTGCAGCTTCAACCACCTAAGATCCTACTTYTCTTGGATCATAACTACAGCTGCCCCACTGCTCCCCGCTAGTCTAGTCTTCACTAGACTAGAAATCTATATAACATCTATAWAAATCTATATAATTTTATCAATCCCTGTTCCTGTGATTCTAAAAGCCTTAAGGATTGGACTTGAGAACCTCACCCTGGTGTTTAGGAACTTCTCAGACCTGATCCTATCCTACCTTTCCAGCTACAGTTCTCAGCTCTTCTACCTATAACCTATATAACAGCCATCTGAAACAACTGCCCAGAATCAACCATTGCTGTCTCATTCCTTCATGCTGCATTTGTATTTGTGGTTGGCTTTGCCTTTCTAYACCTGTCCCTATCCACCTGTTCAACCTGAAACAAATCCTTCCAGACTCGGTTCAAATGTGGCTTCCTCCAGGAGAGCCCAGGCAAAAGCAACCATCCCATCTTTGAGACTCCTGAGAAGCTTCCTGTTTCATCCCATTTTATTGTTCATTGGATATCTTTGTGATCTTGAATTTCTTAAGATTGTGAAAGCACTTGTGCTGGGAGTTGGGTCTGAGATAAATCAGGCAGGCACTTTTCCTGATGTAGAATCAGATGTAGAAGCCTCTTTGGTAGGGAAGAAAGACTGGGACACAGATAATTAGAAAGCAATGAGTTACGGTTATTCTTCCGTGTATTTTGCTCCCTTTGAGTCCAGCATTTATGGCTGGTTCTATTGTGGCCTCTACCTCCTCTCCCAGCACCTAGCACATGCCTGGTACAAATAACATGGCAATAAATATTTGATGGATAAATGAATGACTTAATGCAGGTCTCTCATTCCCAGATCAGAAAAAAGAGACTCAAAGAGGGTCACTAACCTGCCCAATTCACCAAGTAAGGCAGTGACAAATCTCAGATCTTAGGGGTACTTCCTGGAGCAGAAGGCTGGGCAACACTGACCTTTGACAGGCCCCATATGGCTCAGGTACTCGCAGTGGCTACTCCAGTGGTCCAGGGTGGTGAGGATGTGTCCAGGGTCTCCAGGTAGGGCATGGGTGAGCACATAGCTGAAGGCTCTCTCTTCAATCCGCATCCCTGACAGGCAGTCTTGGAAACTCCTCAGTAAGACTGTGCGCAGCAGCAGTCGGAAGTGGTGCCGATATCGCACCAGCAATGTTACCACCAGTGGCAGGAATGCCAGTGCAATGGCAGGGGACATGATCCCTACCTGGGTCTGAGATGGAGGGAGGCAGGGAGGGGAAACCCACCCCACAATTTGTCATTCGTGGTCTTTGCCACTAGCAATTATTAGGCTCACATTTTACAAGCCATGGCTAAGGAAGATTAAGTCTTTTGCCCAGGGTCACACAGCAGAATTGGGATTTGAATCCAGGTTGGTATGATTCCAAAACACTGTACTTTAAAGGATGTCATACTGTCTATGTTCAGCACCCAAGCCCATACCACTCTTAATACTACTGACTTCTGTTCCCATTTCCACATTGCTACAACCCATTTCCCTTCATCCCTGAAGTCACCCCTTCTTCAGGACTTCTTTCTTCAGTTCCTCCTAGGATATCATACCCCCATCATATCCCACTATACAGTATGGTGGGGGTATGCTATGGGTCTCTTMTGACCCATTACTGTGTTGCAAAAGAGCAAAGCTTTGTAGTTCAAAAACCCTTCACTGTCACTGTGGACTGCTTCAGTAAAGGTAATCAAAACACTTCATAAGGTGTTAGAGTGCGATGTCTTCCCACACCAGACTGTCCCTTTACTCTTCCCTGGGAATGGAAGGAGTCCTTGATTCTATATTTCATCTCCAGTCCTATCTTCCCTCTCTTATATTCCCCTTCCTCTGTGATCTCTCAGAATTCCCTTTATAAGTGCATACATACACATAAACACATCACACACACTCCCCTCCCCCAGCCCTCTTCTCCAAGTCCCTCTCCCATGTTCTGGACCACCCTCCYCTTCCAGATCTGACTTTGCAGGCCTCCTTGCAAAGCTCCTGGTTGGAGGTGGGTAAAACACTATATGAATGGATGTGAATAGATAAGTGATAGTGGACATGAACTGGGTGTGCTTGTGAACCCAGAAGGCCCGCTTACCTGGGCTGGAAGCTCCTGCTTAGGGAAGACCGGAGTACAGGACCAGAGGGGAAGTCCTTAGGGGAAGTAACCCTGAGACAAGAAGCTGGACATTCAATAATTGATGCTGAAGCTGCTGCTGTTATCTGAGACCTGCAGTTCCAGTTACCAGACCCAGGGACAAGCTGGAGCTGCCTCCTGTCTGTCAGGAGCCTTCAAAAAACATATAGAACTCCAGGGTCTTGATTTGAGGGTAACAAGTGCTACTAGGTTTGGTGACTTCTCCAACTTCTGTGATGACGACATGGACATGGTGTGAGCTAATGAATGGAATTTACTCAATTCAAAATTCAAGTTTTCTCTAAGCAAGTGTTAGGGTTTGGGTCACAGAGAAGAATTAGAACCTGTTCCTGTCCTTCAGGAACTCCAAGTTTGATAGAAGAAACTGATCCGGGAACAACAGAAGACAATATGCTGTGATCCTAGATTGGATGCTCCACTAGTACAAGGACTTTTGACTTTTTTTTTTTAACTACTGCCTACCCAGATAAAACACTGTAAACATTTGTTGATTTAATAAATGAGTGAAACCAGGTATAGTCTGTAATCCCAACCACTAGGGAGACTTGAGACAAGAGGATGGCAAGTTCAGGGCCAGCCTGGGTGGCTCAGTGAGACCCTGTCACAAAATAAGGAGCTGGGAATGTAGTTCAGTGGTAAAGCACCCCTAGGTTCAATCCCCAATACTAAAAATAAAATAGATGGTGGTGGGGGGGACTAGAAGTATTTCCCCTGGGCATGGCATGGAGTGGGAAGCAGATGCCAGGCAATGAATCAATCATCTGGAATGACAGACTTGGACCTCTTTCCAGGGCCCAACAGAAGGCAGGAGGCTTTTTTTTTTAAGCTGCTGGGGGGTCACATCCTAGGCACCAAACGAAATCTCCAGCCTTGGGAGGGCTTTATTTATTAGCTGTGGATAGACACATTTTGTGGTGCTGAGCCTGGAACCCTGCCTCACACATGCTAGGCAAGCGCTCTACCACTGAGCTACAACCGCAGCCCCTTTGGGAAGGTTTTACAGAAAATCTAAGGCCACCTTTGTAAATTAGATTACTGTGGCTACTGTGAAAAGCTATGATTGAARAGAAACGCCTGAGAAGGTCAACCATGTGGGTCTAGCGCCTCTACCACCTCTACCGGGATGATCTCTACTCCCAYTTAGCTTGTGAAGGCGTAAACCCCTCATCCCACCGGCATCAGGCATATAGAGCTTACGTGTGCGCACCAACTGTATGATCTACAAGAATGGGGTCTGGATCCCACTCACKGCTCGCATGGCATTTAAAAATGTATGGTGACAAACTCGGCATGGGGCACAAGTCTGTAATGCCACTGATTTGGGAAGCGGAAGGAGGATGTCAAGTTGGAGGCCAACTTCAGCAATTTTTCAAGACCCTGTATCAAAAATAAAAAGGGCTGGAGATTTAGCTCAGTGATAAACCATCCCTGGGTTCAATCAACAGTACCAAAGCAAAACCAAGAAGTGCATCATGAAGCATTTCCATGAGTTCACTCACTGGCCCAAAAAGGTGGCCTAGGGGGCCATGCGATCACAGCGCAACTCACAAGAAGGCCACTACGGCCAGGGGTGGAGATGATTCCAGTTTGAGACTGAGATGATAGTCATAWGACACACCCCTCTCTTTCCTCGTATCACGTGTCTCGTATCTTGTCACGTAGGGTGCGCCTTCTCTTTGGGTGGCTATGATCACGGGGCTGGGGGCGGGACCGGAAGTCAGGGTTTTGGCAGCGGAGCCCAAGCGGCTCTGGGACGCTGTAGGCCCAGGGAGAAAGGCAGGTTGCTTGCGGGAGGCAGCCTCAGGTCATGTGACCGGAAGGGCTCTKGACGGACGCCGTCCCTCCTCCGCGCGGCCTGAGCGCCCGGCCCGACCCCGGCCATGGGGTGCTGCTACAGCAGCGAAAACGAGGATTCGGACCAGGTGCGGCCGCGGCAGGCGGGGCTCGGGAGTGAGGGCTAAGACCCTGAGGCTTGGGGCCCCAAAAAGACCTGCAGAGGAGGGCGAGCTGTACCGCCGGGCTCACTGAGTACGGAGGCCTGGAGGGGACAGATTACAGCGAGGACGCCTAGCCGAACTCCTACCCCTTTTGAAGTCCCAGGTCTCTACACAGTGCTGGCCTGGGGTTGAGCATGCAGCCGTCCAGCTGACGTGTTCCCTTCTCTTTCATCTCTCCGTACCGTCAGACCTTTACAGCTTCATGGATCCTAAGCCTAGGTCCCCGGGAAACAGTCCCTTCCCAACTTCCTGTGCCTTCTCTGTGCTTGTATTAGTGGGTTTTGCGAATCCATTGTAGAGGTGGGTAAGCTGAGGCCCTTTAGCTAATCTGTCCTGAGATGAATCAGGAATTTACGTATCTTGTCCCTGGGGTTGGTTAAAAAAAAAAAAAAAGGCTACTGTTGGTCTGGGTTCAGAGAAGCCCTCTGGAAATTGGTGGCATTTGAGATAGCTAATGAAGAATTTCGTAGATACAATCAGGACAGTGGGACGTGTGGGAAATTGGCTTGGGAAGCAAGATTTTGGATTTACCTTTGGCTGATTTGARGAAAAGAGTTGGGATGGGGAGCTCATTTGGTTCTGAGTTTGGCTTGCCTGGGTGCAAACGCTGCCTAATGCCTGAAAGTTTATAGCTAGAGGGTAGCCCTCTCAGGCTAGAGGGTAYCTATCTGGAGAATGTGGCTGTGTCCCTCTTCTCCTTGGTACATTCGTACTTTTTTCTTCCTGCCTGGACTGACCACCTTTGAGAAGGGAGACCTTTCCAAGGATGAAGTCTCAAACTGCTGGCTACTCACCTTTTTTAATTGCCTCTGAGTCTGGGACCTACCTTTAAACACATAGTACATTCAGACAGCAGAATTTTCTCATCAAGTATCCTGCAGCATAGTGTGTGTGTGTGTGGGGGGGGGGGGAGATGGTCACAGAAACAGAACAGTTCTATCCCCAGTGAAGTTATTTTGGGATGAGGACTTAAATACAGGAAAATGTTATTTGTGTGGGAAGTTCCTGATACTCAAAGCTCCATACACTAAGTGAACACAGTCATATTTCCCACCCAATGTTAGGCCTGCTTCATGACTTGTATTTCTCATTTCACTCTAGCCTGTTAGAGAAGATTGCATAATATTCCTATCTACTGGAAAAGTTGTGGTCTAGTAGCAAACTGATCCTTTAAAATATAATATGGATTCTTTCAGGGAACAAGGTTTAATTCCTTATGAGAAAAAATAGGATCTCCCAGCTTAAAGGGAAAGCTGAGCTTGCTGATCTCCTGAATCTCCACCTTTCCTTTGATGGGCTCTCATTTCTGTTTCTAACCCCCAGAGAAGGTTCTTATCAGTGCTGAGTAATTTGAAGTGTTCTGTGGCATAGGCCACAGCCATTCATCATCATCTCCAAGGCTTTCTTGCAGCTCTTGGGTAGGTCCCTATCCTGCTCTTTTATTATAATACTAAAGAGAAATGTGCAGTCAGGAATGGTGGGCAGTRGGCATGTTTGTAATCCTAGCTGCTCAAGAGGCTGGAGATGCAGAAGAATTGAAAGTTTAAAGTCTGGGGATGTAGTTCAGTGGTAAAGTGCCCTAGGTTCAGTCCTTAGTATGGGGGTGGTGGGGAATGTATGAATTTTCAAGGGGCTTTTACAGGTGCCTCATTTGACTCTTGCCAATCATTTGTGATATAAGTATCTATTTAAAGGTGAAGAAAAAGTTCAGAGAAGCTAAGGGATTTAACCAACTCAAGAAGTACCCTAGCCAAGGTGTGTTGATGCCAAACCATGTGCTGTATCTATTGGGCTGTCTCTTCCAGCCATGCTGTAGACCAGGTGGCCAGTCATGGGCAAGACACGTGGGTTCATGCTAAGGTAGACAGTGAAACACTGACTTGAGTTATGCTGACTCAAGGACAAACTTTAGTGTAATAAATCTACTCCATGCCCCACTCATCCTTTGGTGTAGGGTGATATTATTTGTCCATTCTGAAGGGGGTAGCATGACCTCTTCTAGGAGTCGGGCAAACAACCTTGTTCTTGAACTGCTAGTTGGGAGAAACTACTCTGTCCTTCAGGAAGATCTGTCTTAAGTAGGGGCTGGAGAAAGGAGAGACATRGGAAGCAAATCCGGGCCTCATTATGGAGCCAGCTTTCCTTAAGAGTTTTATCTTTGACGTTTTGTCTTTTTCTTCTTCTTCTTTCTTTCTGTATTGGGGACTGAACCCAGGGTCTCATGCAATGCTAAGCAAGTGTACCAATGAGCTACATGCACTCCCAACCCCAACCCCCCCATTATTTTTTAAATTTTGAGATAGGGTCTCTCTATGTTACTCACAACTGTCCTCAAATCTGTGACCCTCGTGCCTCAGCCTCTGAGTAGCTGGGATTATAGCCACAACATCTTTTTAGCCATTTAGTACTGAGGATGGAGGAGGATAGAGGGTGTCTGGGGGTTTAGAGGTGATGATGCAGAAGCTCACAACTTCTTTCTCTTAATAATGGGAACTGAATTAAATGGCCTGAGGACACTTGGGCAACCTAGGCTTGAAAAGGAAGAGGAAGGTGAAGAGGCTGGGCCTGCCTAGGGTGGGGCAGGCAAGGCTGGAGGAAGTGGCCCTCTGTGAGGAGAGTTGTGGGTGGAGGATTTGGCTCCTACAGTAGGGAAGTCTGTGGTAGAAACTGAGACAAGCTTGGAGAGGAGCATTAAGGAATCTGGTAGGCTGGCTTTGAGAGCTGATGACTCAGCATTAGCCAGGTTCCACCCCCTCCATGGCCCTCCCTGCCCCATCCATCCTTGGCATTATCCTGAGCTCTTTGTGGCTTAGATACGCAACAGGTCTGCTTATCCAATTTGCAGCTGACACAAAGCCAGAGGGATCTGTAGCTGCTGGGCTTATTATAGTGGAGTCAAATCCAGAAAGAAGCAGGTTAGAACAGGGCCTGAAACAGGACTAGGGAGGCTAGATTTCAACTTAGGTCAATTCTAGGGGATGAAATGATCATCAGTGCAGACTAGTAGTAATTGAGCTACTAGAATGAAGGAGGCTGCTCAGGTCACATTGAAAGAGGTATGATGAGCTAGGCATAGAGGCACATGTCCATAATCCCAGCCAGGGCAGGAGGATTGCAAGTTTGAGGGCAGCCTGGGCAACTTAGCAAGATACTATCTCCAAATAAAAAATAATTATAATAAAGATCTGTGGTAGAGCACCCCTGGGTTCTATTCTCCACTATTGCAAAATAAGTAAAGGCATCTGGAAAGCTTAAAAAAATGAAAGAGGTATGGTAGTTTGGCAAGAGAGGGAAAGCTCCACTGTTCTCTTAGGTCAGGATATACTAGGCACGCTTCACTTTGGTCTGGGAGTCATATATAGAGCACAAGACAGGAGGGTGAACACCTAAGGTAAATGGACCTACCTCAAGAAGGGAGCAGAGTCATGATATCCCCTCAAAGGCTGGGCAGAGGTTTCTGCCCTGAGATGATCAGGATGGCCATGTGAKGGGTTGGGCTTGCTTGTCCTTGGGGCCTAGGATCTTGTCTAGACTCACCAGGGCCTTTGCATCTTGGGAACAGACARCTTTGTTGGGGAAAGCCTTGTCTGAGGGATCAGGAAGGCACTTGACTTGCACTATTTTTCCCTCTAGACCTTATTGTTTTGGTATTTTCCCACCTCCTCTGTCTTCTCCCTCCAATATCCTTTATGTACCTCTATTCATCTGTGCAGGACCTCTTGGTCTAGTTCATGCCAGACCAYCAACTCAGCTGAGCTCCTAAGGGCAGTCAGGGACCAAGTCTTACCTAACATTCCATAAAGTTGGCACTTTTGAATATTCATATTTTAAAATATTTTTGGTGTTTAAAGATGAGAACTGGGCTGAGGGGAGAAACACAGGAAAGTCCTGGGCCTGACTTCTCAATGGCCTCTCCTAGGACCGAGAGGAGCGGAAGCTGCTATTGGACCCTAGTAGCCCCCCCACCAAAGCCCTCAATGGAGCTGAGCCCAACTACCACAGCCTGCCTTCTGCTCGCACAGATGAGCAGGCCCTGCTCTCTTCCATCCTCGCAAAAACAGCTAGGTAAGTATGTGTCACAGCACAGGCCTAGTGTAGAATGGGCCTGGATATGGGGGATGGGATAAGGTCATTGAGGAGAGGTGGTGTTGGGCCCTGCCCTGCTCTAATGGGCAGGTAGGGATATTGGTGTCAGACAGCACTGGAATTGGCACCTGCACGGAGTCATGTTTGTCCCCCTTAGAAGTACTTGTCACGTCCTCTCTGTCTTCTTTCCTTAAAGCAACATCATTGATGTGTCTGCTGCAGACTCCCAGGGCATGGAGCAGCATGAGTACATGGACCGGGCAAGGCAGTACAGGTGAACATTGGGCCAGCTTGGGCCCCTCGTCTGCCCTCCATACCTTCCCATCTTTGGAGCCTGGGCCCTAGCACAGCCTCCTTATTTTGGTGCAGCCCAGGAGACTGACCACAAGCCACAGTTGATGTTTATGTCAGCCCTGTTTGCCCTGTGTAATCTTGAGGGTGCTGAGGACAAAGTTGCACCAAGAGTGAGTTTGTGATAAGCTGAGTGAGGCCCCTGTCATCTTGCTCCTCTGGCCTCACGGAGTGAGGCTTGCTGAGCTGGGCAGGACTGGGCAGGACCGGTTAGGGAAGCGAAGGCTATGGCCTAACTAACCTTCTTTATCCCCTTCCTCTTGGCCAGCACACGCTTGGCTGTGCTGAGCAGCAGCCTGACCCATTGGAAGAAGCTGCCACCGCTGCCGTCTCTTACCAGCCAGCCCCACCAAGTGCTGGCCAGCGAGCCTATCCCCTTCTCTGACTTGCAGCAGGTGAGCCACACCAGCCTGCCTCCTTTGCCCTTCCCAAACTGCCCAGAGTATAGCAGAAGGGTTTACCACTCTGCCTCAGAAGAGGTAGGGAGTAGAGTTAGGGAGCCTTGTGGCCTACCCCACTTTCTCTCACTTTTTCTATCCTCAACCTTGATTGTTATTCTGGGTTTTTTTTTTGTTGTTGTTGTTGTTTTTCCTTCTTCTGTCTTTCTCATCAGCTTTTTTTATTTTTTATTTTATTATTTTATTTTTTTTAGTTGTGGTTGGACACAATACCTTTTACTTATTTATTTTTATGTGGTGCTGAGGCTCAAACCCAGGGCCCAGCACGTGCTAGGCGAGCACTCTTCCACTGAGCCACAACTCTAGCCCTCTTATCAGCTTTTTGTCCTCCCTCATTCCCTCTTCTTTTCCCTCACTGCCACCCATCCCCCCATTTCTCCTTTTCTGGATCCCCTCTCACATATTTCTCTATTCCTTTCCTCCCTGGCCCTTCTGCCTCAGGTCTCCAGGATAGCTGCTTATGCCTACAGTGCACTTTCTCAGATCCGTGTGGACGCAAAAGAGGAGCTGGTTGTACAGTTTGGGATCCCATGAAGAGAGGGGTCTTTGGACAGCTCTTCTCCTCTCTTCACCTGTCTCCATCCCACCTCCCATGGCCCCCAGCCTCACTTCGGCTTATACAGTACCCTAACCTGCTACTAATCACTGAGAAGAACGTGGAGGAGGAGAAGAGCGAGGCTAGAAGCCTGAGCAAGTGAGGATGGAGCAAGGGAGGGTAGAACCATTCAGGACTGGCCTTCAAAGCCCTGGCTGGGGTGGAAGCCAAGAGGACAGGGACTGGAAGGTCTTCACAGTCATTGGAAGGTGGAGATACCACTGTGGGAGTGAACACCAAGGGACCTAGGGGGAGGTCCTTCCCACCCTTTCTCTTGGCCTCAGATTCACTCCTGTCCCCCTTTCTCTGACTTGGTGCTCCCATGCACCTCACTAGGGTTTGTGCCCAGGGTCTGGATGAGCTTGAATTTGAATGAATTGAGTTTGTATTTCCAGCACCCTGGGTTTTTACATGTTTGGTCTTTTTTTCTTTTTGTCACCCTYGATAAAGGAAGTGTATTCATTTGTGTGCTGGTTCCAGCCCCTCTGTCCTGCCTACTACCCAACTATTTATTTCTGGCTATTCAAGTCTGTGAGCAATGAGATGGGGGAGGAGGTATCTTCTAGGATCATTAAGAGGAATCCAAAACTGTGTGGTGAGACACCCCGTAATCCTAGCAGCTTGGGAGGCTGAGCCATAGGATCTTAAGTTCAAAGCCAGCCTCAGCAAATTGGTGAGGCCCTAAGCAACTCGGGGAGACCTTGTTTCTAAATAAAATATAAAAAGGGCTGGAGATGTGGCTCAGTGGTGAAGTGCCCCAGGTTCAATCCTCCATACCAAAAAAAAAAAAAAAAGGAATCTAGGAGATAAGCGTTCAGAGTTCCCAGGCTTAGCTTAGACTCAACCTAGGCTAACCTCAGGTTGGATAAGACTGCTCTTATCCCTATCAAACACTGTCACAGCTGGACAGAACTAAATCTGAGGCAGTTATGAATGCTGGAGACCCTGCCTCAGGCTCAGTGGAATTACAGTAGCGCTAGGGGTGGAGGAGACCAGATTCTGCTAGGGATGCTTAATAAGGACCCAGCAAACAAATGTTTTCAAAAGCAAGAAGATCTTTTTATCAAATGAAATCTTTTTTTTTTTTTTTTTTGTACTGGGAATTGAACCCAGGGACATTTAACCACTGAGCCATATCCCCAGCCCTTTTTATTTTTTGAGGTAGGATCTCGCTAAGTTCCTGAAGCCTTAAAAAGTTGTTGAGGCTGGCTTTGAACCTGTGATCCTCCTGCCTCAGCTTCCCAAACTGCTGGGATTAATAGGCATGCCTGGCTATGAAATGGAATCTTAAGCAGAATACCAACATATAAATATTAAGAGTAGGACTACTGTGATCTGATTGAAGTAGAACATAGCCCATCTTCTGGGCCTGTCTTTGAGGCCTCTGTCGCAGCTCCAAGAACCTGGCATTCTGTGAAGAATTTGGGAAATGCTGATCTCTAATCCCATGATATCTAAGTTGAAGAGAACAGAGGGGCCCAGAGAGGCTAGATAAGTTTTCCAAGGACACATGCAAACCCAGGTCCCCTGTGTCTCTGGCCAGCAGGCCTTTCCCATCATTGCSTGCCTCAATGAAGTAATATTAGAGCTACTGGCAGTTGCTGGAGTTGGAGGGCATCTTTGCAAGGTACAAGTGACTTCTACTCTGAACAACAGCTCAAATCATTTATTCTCAAACTAAGCTGACTAGCTTCAGGACTGCTGGGGTCCTGGGAACCTCAGAGTGCATCCTACTTGATCCGGGCCTTCTTGGGCTTGATGTTCATGCGTTTCCAGACTTCAGCTGTGGTACGGTCTGCTTTGGTGACYCCACTGAAGTCGAACGTGGTGATACGGGGCAGGGTGCACAGCACATATTGCCTGTAGGGAAGACTTGGGCTGGGGGCCTGCCCCCCCACCAGAATCCCCTTCCCCTCCACCTGTTGCTGCTCTTTTCCCTCACTGCAAGGAATGGAGGGACCTGAATATGGTGTGAGAGAGACTGGGTTCATCCAAACTGATAGCAAGAAATGCTTATAGTTCTCCCTTCCCAGGTTTACATGTGGTAGAAGAATGGTCTTAGATTTCCTGTCTCCCCTTCTGTTGTCTCCCAGGGGAGCCCAGCTGAATCCCAGCTCAGGGACAGGATACTTACCTGTACCCCTTCTCTTCCTCTATGGGGTTACCATGGAGTGTCAAGCTTCGAAGCCGAGGAAGGACAGCTAACTTATTCACTTCTCCCAGGCTCTGGATACTGTTTCCATGAAGATAGAGAACACTCAGATTGAAGAATGTTGTTAGGATCTGTTAGGGAGGAAACCGAAAGACAGGCTGGCAAGACCCTGGATTTCTGCTCAGGACTAACTTGCTGGCAAAAAAAGGAAGAGTTTGGGGAACAACTTGCCCTCTATTCCAATCCTTATAGCTATACTGGAGGATTCTAACCTACTTTAATTTACTTTAAGGGCTAGAGGGATATCACATTGAAATAGAACTGTGATTTCAGGAAAGAAGGTATGGGGACCTTCTGTCTTGGACAGGAGGTATAGGCCCCTAGTCCCATCACTGCTACTGTCTGGCTAGGTGATGGCTCTCCTGCTGGTCCCTGAGCCTTACTTGCTGCTTCACTAAAGACCTTCCCACTTGAGGTGAACTAAAAGTCTTATCACAGCAAGGAACCAGAGTACAGAGTATCATGCTAGGTACATAAGAGAAACTTTTAAGATATTAGTTAAATTAAGATCACTATATCAGGGCTACAGTCTCCCCATTTCTTAAAACATGAACCAGAAGTTGCAAAAAGTAAGTGTTGTACTTTTCTATCTACCTCATTCATAGCAGAACTCAGCATGAGACATAGTAGGTACCCAGTAATGACACCTACAATTTTGCTTCAGCTATCCATGTCCACTTGGTTCTTGTATCTTTTCATTTAATCCTTATAAACCCTTTATGATGCTGGCATATTATCCTGATTTTTCAGACAGGAAGGTTGAGGTTTTAAGAGGTTACGTGGCTTGCCCAAAGTCACAGTTAAGAGGCAAAGCCAAGGTTGGAATCTGCATCTGTGTGACCTTAAAGCCATGTGCTTTATACTACACCATGCTGCTTGTTTAACTTCCTTCATAAGATGGTAGAGAGGCTGGGGGATGGACAGTGGCCTTACCCTACCTGCCTCTCCATTCTCACCCCTGACTGAACTCCTACAGCTAGAAACTCACAGGGTCAATGGAAGTCAGGTCATTGAAAGACAAGTCGATCCAGGCCAGGTTCTCTGGGTGCTCCAGGATCTGTGAAGCCACCTGGGTGAAGTCTTTCAGGTCATTGAGGACATTGTTGTTCAGCCACAGGGACTGGGTCAATGGCTTTCCTGACTTTGAATGCTTCAGTGGTCGGAGCCCTACCCTTGGCTCCTCGCTTATCAGATCTGTGATAAAAAAGTATGGCTTGGGTATATCATCTTTGCTTTTCTGGAAGGAACAAATCTGTCAAGATGAGCATCCCCAGATATAACCGAAGGGCTAACAGGCCATAGCACTATGCTTGAGTGCTTGGATTTCCTGTCTCCCCTTCTGTTGTCTCCCAGGGGAGCCCAGCTGAATCCCAGCTCAGGGACAGGATACTTACCTGTACCCCTTCTCTTCCTCTATGGGGTTACCATGGAGTGTCAAGCTTCGAGTTTAGAGTGACCCCTGTTCCATAAGCTCTTAACAATCAATGCAAGATTTAACTATGGGGTCAAAAACTTCCCATCCCAAACTCTTGGCTTTCCAGGTTCAGATGGTCTCATGTCTGTGGTATCATTGAGTCCTCTGTATACCACCTCTGTGTGGAGTTAGGATTGAGCAAAGCCACTTCTATTTTTTTTTTGGGGGGGGGGGTACTGGGGATTGAACCCAGGGGCTGGGTTCACTGAACCACATCCCTAGCCCTTTTTTATATTTTATTTTAGAGACGCAAAGTCTTGCTGAATTACTTAGGCTGGCTTTGAACTTGTGATCCTCTGGTCTCAGCCTCCTGAGCCACCGGGATTACAGGTGTGTGCCACTGCACCCAGTGGTAATTCTATTTTATAGATGAGGAAATCTAAGAACTAGAGTTGTAGGGCTTGAACCAGGAAGATGACAGCACAAAAATCAAGAGTTGTCCACGAGTGGAACACATAGAATTTAATTCAATAGAATTCACCCTGATGGTCCTCCTTGTCTTCTGATGGTGAGCTACAATGTCTAAAATATTAGATATATGATGGTGAACACAACAAGAGACAGTTCATGCCAGGCTCTCTGTGAATAATAGAGAAGGGATAAAGCAGATGTTTGTGTCTTGGAGGAGGTGGTTCAGGTAAGATGGAAGCAAACTGGCAGTATAGTATGATGAGTGCTGGTACAATGTAGAGATCTCCTCACTCAGTCTAGGAGCTCAGGGAAGTTTCCCAGGGAAGGTGAAGCCTGAGCTGGACCTCAGTGGAGATGTTAACCAGGCAAAGAATGTGAACAGCATAAGCAAAGCCACAGAACTGTAGAACAGCATGAGGGAGTGTGCACATGCACGCTACATAAGAAGGGAAAAGGAAGCAAACCAAATTGTTTTCCCTCCTTCTAGTACTGGAGATTAAACCCAGGGTTATACTTGCTAGGTCATCATTTTACTGAACTACATGCCAGTGCATTTTGTTTTGTTTTTGGATACAAGTCTTGCTAAGTTAGTTAGTTGTCCAATCTCAACATTTTTTTTTTCCTTTCTTTGGTATGGTTCTGGGGGCACTCTACCACCAAGCTACATCTCCAACCCCTTTTTAAAATTTTATTTTGAGACAAGGTCAACTAAATTGCCAAGGTTAGCCTTGAATTTGTGATCCTCCTACCTTGGGCTCCTGAGTTGTTGGGATTACAGATGTGTGCCACCACAGCTGTCTCCATGAGTCTTAAATGCCAAGCTAAGGGTTTGGGGCTTTTTCATATAGGTGATGGGAAGGAACTGAAGCATTTAAAGCAAAGGAGATGATTCAGATTTTTCACTTGAAAGATCACTGTGAAGCTTCCAATTCATGTATGGATTTTAGGGGGTGGGTGGCATGAAAAGACCAATTTGGCTCTGTCAGTCATCTAAGCAAGACGAGAGGGACATAAAATCAACATGACTTGGCCAACTGGATGTAAAGATAGTATATTCAATGGTGGTACTCAGTTTTTGTTTTTTTTTTTTTTTGTTTGTTTGTTTGGGTGACTGGGTAGATGCCAGTTCTGTTATCTCATAAAGAACTAGTATAAGGTGTACAAGTTAGGGAATAGAGACTCTCCAGAGAGTGAGAATAGAGACAAGGGTCAAGGAAGAAGAGGAAGTCATTAAAGAACTTGCCAAGTAATCATGGACTGACAGGGAGAACCAGGAAAGAACAGTTTTAAATATGTCCAGGGAGTCTGGCAGAAGCCAGAATGGAGTGAGTTCCAGAGTGAATGGGAGGAAAGGAAGAATAAGAAAGGTAGCCTTAACAACCACCTCAGATAGTTTGGCTGAGGAGGAGAGACATATCCAACACTCCCACCCCCACTTTATTTTTTAAAATGAGGTCCATAAAACAGATGGACCTTTCTTAGGCACATAGTCAATTGCAGAGTCAGAACTAGACACCAGTTTGGGCTTTGGTGTCCTTATTCCCTCTTGCCCCTAAGCACCCCCTTCTTGTTTTTTCTTTTCTTTTCTTTTTTTTTTTTTAATCAGTCTAAAAGGGAAGGAAGTATTTGCCAAACTTAGCCAGCATGTCTTCACATTCCCTTCCATTCTCTTATTAGACACACTGTTTCCACCCTCACCCACCACTAACTCTCCTCTCCTCAGTTTCAGGTCAGGCAGCATCCACTAGGTGGCTGTCTGTCATAATCCTGGAGTAGGTGGGATCCTGAGGTGGCAGAAGGGTACTGGAGCAGAGTACCACTGCTTGTGAAGAGACTCCTAATCCTGCCTCCCTCCCCACACCTGAGAACCTTCAAATGAAATGAGTTAGGTGAATAAAAATTAAAAGTCAGGAGCTCAGTGTGCTTGTACAGCATGTGTGAGGTCCTGGGTTTGATCCCTGGCACCAGCGGGAGAGGGCAAAAAAATCTCCCATTTCCTTCTTATATTGCAAAGATAACAACAAATCTGCAAGTGTATATGCAGAGTCTTCTTAGACTTTTAAGTGGAAGACTGGTCCCTCCTTAGGGACCATACCAGGCCTGCTGCCATGGTGAGTGGGAGTGCTGGGTTTTGTGGGCTAACCTTGGATGACGTGGATGCTTCTGAAGGAATAGTCGAGAGGGGGCTCCTGCACGGAAGTGTTCTTATAGTCCCGTTTGCTCATAGTTCAGGCCATCATTCATCAGGTGCAAGCATGGGCCTTGGTAGTCCGGGTTCCTAGGAGGACAGAGAACACGTTTCCAGGTACAAGGTACATCTAAACTTCAATTTCCCCATAGCCTTCCACCCCTGCTTTCTACTCTTCATTCTAGTAGGCCTTCCCAGCTTCATTTCCATTTTAAGATATTAATCATTATTTCTTGCATTTGTAAGGCACTTCTCAAAGCACCTTCACATCTCTTAGAACTTATTTCATAGTTATAAACACCCATTTCTATTTTCCAGAGAAAGAAAATGAGACCCAAGGGGTAAAGGACTTGCCCAGAGTTAAGCCAGTGAGTCAGTGGACTGCAATAACAAGTCTCCTGAATCCTACTCTGAGAGTCTTTCTGCTACTCCATAGTAGTTACCACGGAGACCATCTTCATACCTACCCTCTGGTGACATCAACTGTGTTATTCTATTGCTTAATAAACCCTTGAGGGCCAGCACTGAATCTGGTTGGTGTCTGAGAGCCCTTCCCATTTCTGATCCAGCTGGGGATTTGCTACCTTCTTTCCTCAGCTTGTTGGTCAGCCACATCACCTTTCTATCCAAAGACCCTACTCTCAACCACATCCAGAGTGTAGCCATACATATAAACACACACATAAAACCAGATTCTACTTCTCACTCACCTGTCACTGATGACTGAAACTCCACCATTAGGGATTCGTTCCTTTGGGTTCAGGGATTGTTCCCTGTTAAAATGGAAATTCCCTATGAGAGGGGTAAACATAAAGTTACCAATTATTTGCAATGTGGTGTGAATTGTCTTATCAGATCCTTTCCAGTATATTAGCTAAAGTAAATCTGAGAACAGGTTTTTCCTGGAGATGGGCAAACTACAGAATACTACTTACCTGGGATGAAGAGAGCTGAAAAAACTCATTTTGCCAAGGAGGTTTTTTTTTTTTCTTTTTCTTTTTTTGTGAATCATACAAACAAAAGACAAATAGATGGACAAGTGCATGTCCTAGTTAACCTCCCCCTTTTGCACATCATTTACTGCTGTCACCTCCTCTGCATTAATACTTTCCCTCCTTTCCAAAAGGATGAGGTTTTCAATAACACACTGTTAAAGCAGGATGATCTGTAGAACGGTGCTGTCCAATAGAGATATAATAAAAATCACAATTGCAAACTTCGTATGTAATTTTTAACATGTAATTAAATTTTTTCTAGGAGCAATAATAAAGTAAAACTAATTTCATCTCAAAATTTTATTTAATCCAATATATCCAAAATATTCAGCATGTAATCAATATTAGAAATTACTAAGATATTTTACATTATGCCCCCCCATCCCAATTTGAATTAGCTACTTGTGACTAATGGCTATACTGGACAATGCAGATGCAGAAAAATAAATGTGGAAAAGAAAGATCAGAAAGTAGATTAAAGGAAGAGATGTATCAGGGACTTTAATAATCTACACCTAGCTAGGCACAGTGGTGCATGTCTGTAATCCCAGCAACATGAGGGGCTGAGGCAGGATTGTAAGTTTAAGGTCAGCCTCAGCAATTTAGCAAGGCCCTAAGCAACTTAGCCAGACCCTGTCTCAAATAAAAAGGGCTGGGGATGTAGCTCAGTGGTCGTGTGGGTTCAATCCCCAGTATCACACACATAAAACCTATGACTATATGTAGTTCCAAAATTCCTGGCAGCTAAAGCAAAAAGGAAAACCTTGGACTATTTAGTTTTCGCCACTATATTCAAAGAATAAATTATTCTGTGTGCAAAGACAATGAAACTGGCAAGTTTTGTTTTGTTTTTGGTACTGGAGATTGAACCTAGGTCCACTCTATCACTGAACCACACCCACAGCCCTTTTTTTGTTTTTGTTTTTAAATTTTGAGATAGGGCCTCACTAAGTTTCTTAGGGCCTGAGTTCCTGGTCTTGAATATGCAATCCTCCTGCCTAAAGCCTCCTGAGTCACTGGGATTACAGGTGTATGCCACCATGCCTGATGGGAAGTATTCTTAAAATGGAATTTCTGGGGGCTGGGACTTTAGCTTAGTGGTAAAGCACTTGCTCTGGGATGCTTGAGGCCATAAGTTTGATCCTCAACAATACCAAAATAAACAAATGGACTTTCTATTAAAAACCCAAGGACCTATATAATACAGTACAAATAAATTCATTTTTTGGTGATTTAATGTAGGCAAGGATAGAGTTTAGTAGGTTTAGAGGGTTACAAAGGGAATGTCTTGCTTTCAAAAAGTAGCAGTCTCACCAGGCACAGTGGTGCATACCTGTAATCCCAGTGACTTGGGAGGCCGAGGCAGGAGGATCGTAAGTTCAAGGCCAGCCTCAGCAATTTGGCAATGTCCAAGACTCTGTCTCAAAAAATACAAAGGTCTGGGGGTGAAGCTCAGTTGTAAAGCACCTCTGGGTTCAATCCCTTTGAATTCCCCCAACCCCCCAAAATACAGCAATCTCATCTGAGCTTTGGGGAAGTGTCAGCTTGAGTCACACAACAGCTGAATTCTCTRTTGAGTGGTGGACTGGCCCCATGGACATGCGCTGTTGATTAGGGAGACCTGAATCTTTAGATATCAAATCTATAGGCAGAATGTGATGAATGAAAGGGACATAGGAGTTGGTGTTGGAGACTGAGACCAGCAACTCAGGGTCTCTTCAAAGAACAACAGAAGCATGACAGGGGTGTGGTCAATCTAGAGCAGGTTACCAACTATGTGGAGGAGTAGGAGATCCTGATTTCTACTCTGGAGATAACCATGTTTGTCACTGGAGATAGAAGGTCCTGGGAGCGGAAAGTCAAGCTGGAACAGAAGGCGGAACTGGCAAAAGTCACAAGAAGGAAGATTTGGGGCTGGCTAAGATCCTACAAGTAGCAGCAGAATGGAGTTTGTAGGAACACATAGACAATGCGGTAGAGGCTCTTATTGCCCTAACTGACAGGTACTTTCTTAGACATGCTGGATTAACATTACAATAAGAATTTTTTGTCTTGAGTTGGCCATGCTGGTACACACATATAGGCCCAGTGACTCTGGAGGCTGAGGCAGCAGGATTGCAAGTTCAAGGCCTGCTTCAGCAACTTCATGTGGGACCCTGTCTCAAAATTTAAAAAAAAAAAAAAGGGGGGGACTGGGGATATAGCTCAGTGGTAAGACACCCATGAGTTCAATCCCCAGTCCTCCCTGCAAAAAGAAAAAAAAAAAGTGGGTTTTTTTTTTTTTTTTTTTTTTTTAGTCTTATTCCATTTTGTCCCATCATCCCAGTTGTGGAACACCTATAAAAATTTATAGTGGAGGGACTGGGGTTGTAGCTCAGTGATAGATAACTTGCCTTGCATGCATGAGGCACCGGGTTCAAAACTCAGCACCACATAAATATAAACAACTAAAAAAAAAATATAGTGGAGCTGGGTGCAGTGGTACACACCTGTAACCCCAGCAGCTTGGGAAGCTGAGGCAGGAGGATCGCAAGTTCAAAGCCAGCCTCAGCAAAAGCAAGGCACTAAGCAACTCAGTGAGACCTTTTCTCTAAATAAAGTACAAAATAGGGCTGGGGATGTGGCTCAGTGGTTGAGTGCCCCTGAGTTCAATCTTTGATAACAAAAGAAAAAGAAAATCATAGTGGTGCAGTGGCACAGGCCTGTAATCCCAGTGGCTCAGGAGGCTAAGGCAGGAGGATTGCAAGTTCAAGGCCAATCTCAGCAACTTAGTGAGACCCTGTCTTAAAATAAAAAATAAAAAGGGCTGGGGAGGTAACTCAGTGGTAAAGTGCTTCTGGTTTTAATCCCCAGTATCCTTCCCAAATTAATAGTGTATAATACATAATATACTATATATATATATATATATATATATATATATATAAACACATATATAAGCTTTGGACTGTATTTCCAATCTATTTTAATGCACCTGTGTCAGATTGAATGTTTGCACAGAATTGAAACTTGAGATTTAATGGGTTAAAAAAAATCTACAGGTACTCAACAAAGCAAATAGCAAATAAAACCTAGCTTAGAGTCCTTCCCACATCCRCACCTGTAACAGGTTTGATGCCTTTGAGTAAGACCGAATATTTCTCTCAAAATATGTACTGGGTTGGAACCCTAGAATTCTATACCACTGAACATGGATTTTACCTTAAAATACTGAAGGGCAGATTTTTACAGTTAATCTCCTTAGTAACCATGACTCTCAGTGCATCCTAAGACCTAATTTTGTGTAGCTCCTGATGAATTTTCTGAATGAGTTAGTAGTAAAAATTGAGCCCTAAGAAGCTGATCAAATTTGCTTGTTGGAAAGAGTTATTAGCTTTCTCCATTTAAACAGGTTTAAATGGAGGTTGTGAGCCTAGTGTCTTATCCATCATCTTACACAGAACCTGGTTTACGACAGGCAATCAGGAAACTTGTGGGATGAATGAAAGAAAAACTGCCTCTTACAGGATTTCTGTTTTCTGTTTTGGGAGACTTGATGCTAAGCTGTTCTAACAATTGGCTCCCAGGTTCAGCTGTTTCATTCCACACTTCATTCACAGTAAGATATCAATTCAATACTGCAAACATTTGTTGAGTGCCTGCTGCCCTGTGCCTGACCAAAAGGAATGAAGCCAAGTACAAATAATAGAACCCTGTCATGAGCACAGAAAGACCTGCTGGGTTTCTATTGATTGTGGCAAACCGGCCAGCATCCAGTTTCCAGTAACAGCTGCCTGCTTAGTGAATACTCTTTCGTGTTTCAACACTCAGCTCCAGTGTACCTTCTTTTATAAAGTCTTTCTTTTCCAGATAAAATTGATCAGTGCATCCTGAATTAGACTGATTGCTCTGATGGTCCCTATTCATGGTCTCCCCTGTATCCATCCCTTTTTGCCCTATACCTTTGTAGTTCCATCTCTCCTTGATGCTGGGTTCAGCATTTTAACATGTTCTGTCCAATGGGATGTTGATAAACATGAAGCTAACAAACTTTAAAGCAGAGATTGCTCTCTGCTAGTGCCATGAGAACGTGGTTGGCCTTTTGGAATGATATGAGAGATATACAGGTGATCACCATGTGAAAGAGAGCCAGTGATCCCAGCTGAGGCCATCCCAAAATAGGCTATGGAGAGCCACCCAACCTACAGATGACTGCAGTCACATGATGAGGTTAGCCATGACCAGAACCATACAACTAATTCAGAGACACAGAAGCAAGAATAAATGCTTATTGTTGTAAGCCACTGTGTTTTAGGATGCTTTGTTATACGGCAATAGCAAACTGATGCTTACCCCCACTGTACTTTGAACAAAATTTCATCATAGCTTGTTTGCTCACCTGTGAAATGAACACAAATCCTATCTTGGAATCTATTATGTGGCCTACAACAAGTGCTCAATAAATGAAAACAGTTGTTGTCTCTACTCATTTCTTTTTCTTTTCTTTTTTTTTGTTTTGGAGACTGAATCTAGGAGTGCTTCACCACTGAGCCACATCCCCAGTCCTTTTAAAATATTTATTTATGGGGCTGGGGATGTGGCTCAAGCGGTAGCGCGCTCGCCTGGTGTTCGGTTCTCAGCACCACATACAAACAAAGATGTTGTGTCCGCTGAAAACTAAAATAAATGAATAAATATAAAAAAATAAAAAATAAATAAAATATTTATTTATTTATTTAACTGGGGATTGAATTCAGGGGTGCTCAACCACTGAGCCATATTCCCAGCCATATTTTGTATCTTATTTAGACACAGGGACTTGCTGAGTTGCTTAGGGCCTTTCTAAGTTGCTGAGAGTGATTTTGATCTTGTGGTCCTCTTGCCTCAGTCTCCCAAGTCACTGAGATTACAGGCATGTGCCTCGACACCTGGCTCTCATACCCTTTTTACCAGCTGCAGAGTATTCCATAGAATCTTTCATATTTTTAAACTTATTTATCCAGCTCCAAATTGACACAGATTTGTTTCCAGTTTGGGGAAATTACTAACAACTGGAATTTGATTTACTGCCAGTCTATTTCTGCCCTCTCTCAGACAGGTAATAACAGAAAGTTACGGGAAGCTTTGAGGAATAACCAGGTGGGGAACTTGGAAGACTGATCAGCCTAGCTTACTACTTGTAGACTACAGGTAGGAGAAAAACCAAAGAATGGGGGCTGGGGATGTGGCTCAAGCGGTAGCGCGCTCGCCTGGCATGCGTGCGGCCCGGGTTCGATCCTCAGCACCACATACAAACAAAGAT